TTTAAGCCACTGTACAATATACCACCCACTTTTCACCGTTTATGTTATGAGTCCCATGTAGGGGGTGTGCCTATTGCCATATACCAAGCACAATTCCAGATTTCGTGGCACTACTAAGATTTTTTTACAAAACCTAGTAATACTTTGCCCGACCTGGGAATAATATATTTTAAACTAGTGACCCGCCCCGGCTTCGCACGGGTGCAATATGCATGTATTATACATACAAACCTTCCTTAAGAATCACTCTATCTATTAAAAAAAACCGCATCAATATCCGTTGCGTAGTTTTAAAGATCTAAGCATACATACGGACATACAGCGAAAGCGACTTTGTTTTATACTATGTATTGATGATATTGATATGTATTTGGTATAAGCGAAGATGGGTACTTGATGATAAGCGATATTCGCTGCCCAGGAACACTTGCAGCACGAGGATAGTCATCATCATGCCATATCAACAGCCTATAAGCGGCCACTGCTAACCAAAGGCCTCTTCTTACACGGAAAAGGTTTGAAAATTAATCACCACGCTTGCTCAATGCGGGTTGGCGATTTCAAACTTATAATTAGAAATTGTAAGCCCAGGTTTCCTCACGATGTTTTTCTGCGTTTGTCTAAATAATCTTAGAAAGTATATATCTACTCGGAGAAATTCACATTGGTACTTGCTGTTGATAAGTTTCAAACCCAACACTGTCATGCCTCCGGGTCACCATGAGATTAATAAATTAGTTTAGTGTGTGTTTTTTTCATTAACTCGTCGAGTACCGGTTTTGTAGACACAATTATAGAACAATAGGTTGCGGTCACCGGTGACCGCTTGGTGTTTGACAGTTTAAATGTTAAACCTACTATCCTCCATCTTGCGTAAAAACAATGAAAACTGTCCACGTAGCGGCAAAGGATGCATTTGTCAAATGACGTGTTGTAAACAGTTAGGCAAATGAAATTGGGATGATGACAGACTATGAAAATGAAAAATATAATTAGTCCGTAAGTTAGGTAATGAAAAAATATTAGATACGTATTTTTTTATTTTGTCGTATATATAATAAAACAATACTTAGATAAAACGAATCAAAGTTTTGTAGTGGAGGCTAAAACGTCATTTCTACGTATAAAATATTTATAGAAGTGACGTCACGCGACATTTCAAATCAATATATCGTCGAAAGTATTCGTTTTTGAAAGAAAATAAAAAATAAGTGTCGAATTATTTATAATAATTTACCAGACGAACATTAAAATAAAAATTACGCATCTACCCTATTGAAAAGTGGTCAAAACATAGATTTTGTAATTGCAACTGAAATCTTTGTAGCTCAGTCTACAAAGAATAAAATACGTTATGGGTATTATTTATAATTGTTACACATCATTTATTTTAATTACCTTTTCCCTGAACTGAACGACCATAAACTATATTAATGAGTACTAAGTACATACAGCCACTTTTCCCCAGATGTGTAATTAAACCTAAGTCCTAAGGTCAGCCTTGGTAGATAGAAATCGTAATTACACATAATATACAAGTTTCATTCACAGTTACAGAATATGAAATAATATAATTATAATGATAAACTAGCTTCTGCTAGCGGCTTCGCCCACGTTCTCAGGGGTGTGACTGAGTTATAAACATGACTGTCTCATTGTCCGAGTGGTCGCAAGTGCGACTGCCGGGCAACGGGTCTCGGGTTCGATTCCTGGGTCGGGCGAAGTACAACTGGGTTTTAAAAAAATCAGTAGTAGCACGAAGTCTGAAATTGTGCCTGGTATTATGGCAATAGGCTCAACCTCTTTTTAATGGGACTCATAACATAAATAGTGAAAAGTGGGTGTTACATTGTACAGGGGCATAATGTGCACGCTGCCTACCCCTTCGGGTATAAAAGGCGTGATGTTATGTAAGGATAGGTAGTTTTAAGATACGTGTCTATATCTATGCATTGGCATAAAATTAATATAGGTACGGAGACCAACAAGTCAACCAACCATTTTTGTCAATTCTTTCTATTAAATGTTTAACTTTATTGCATTGACATTAAGTCGACAATCCAATAAATAATTTACCAGACTGGAGTAGTAGGTCACTGTACATTGTTGAACTACTAACTAATAATATCTTAGGAAAAATTATCTTAGGAAAAAATATCTTAGGAAAAATTATCTTCGGTAAATAATTAGCGGCTTTGTTACGCTAAACGCCTTGATTTTTTGCCCCCATTAAAATTAATAGTAATAATATTTAGTCCATATTCTGTATTTACGTAATTACAAGTGTTTCTTTGTGTAATTAAGCGATATATGACAGGTTAATAGCAATAATTACGATAATGATGTTATGACAAACAAAGGACTGTGCATTTATGGTTTTTCAGTATAATAATAAGTTGCATATGTATGCAATTTCGACCTCTCGCGTCCGGCTCTGGTTCAGACCATGATACGGAGCGAGGGGGACTGGGATGCCGTGTCCTCCTTCTGTAAAGCAGTCATGCTAGCTAAGGAAGAGGCGGAGCGCGTGAAGAAACGAACCTCCTTACGCCCCAGCCATCGCGAGAGACACCCCGGGCGTCGGGGATTGCGAGACGATCTCTGGCCACCGTAAGCACGGGCCTGCGGACGGCGAGCACGGGTGACTCACCGTCCGACCAGAAGCAAAGCCGAGCGTACGGCGCGTCGCGTTCCGCGCGCCTCCTCAAGGAGTCATCAGACCACCACAGATGGGGCCCAACAGGGCTGATGGCCGATACGGAGCCGCGGAAGACTAAACGGGCTGCCGGGGCTCCGGCTCGAAGTGCAGGAGTAGGAGCGGGGTGGTTTTTAGTACTTTTTAGTCAGTAAGAGTCTGAAACTGTCACACCCAGGTGGGAGAAGTCATTGCATAATTTTCCCCCCTCAAGTACCAATGCCTCCATGGTTGGAGCGGTGGCTTGGCAACTGGCTGCCGCGCAACCTGTAGCGTGTTCGATTCCCGCTCGGAGCAACTCTGTGTGATCCACAGATTGTTGTTCCGGGTCTAGGTGTCATTTGTATGTGAACTTGTATGTTTGTTCTGCTACGTTTCGAATGCGATAGTTATTCGTGCTTGGCACTCAGTACACCATTTATTTTTGAAGTATTATTATTAAAGAAACATAACATAACATCACGCCTTTTATTCTCGAAGGGATAGGTATCGGTGCACATAGTGGCACTGTACAATGTAACACCCACTTTTCACTATTTACATTATGAGTCCCATGTAATAAGGGGTGAGCCTATTGCCATATACCGGTCACCATCCAGACTCCGTGCTACTACTGAGTATTTTTTTTATACCCAGTAAGTAACTTGTCTATCCCTTCGGGGGTAAATGACGAGATGTTATGTAAGTTATTTTTAAGAAACTAAGTACTCAATAAGCAGTGAAACAATCAGCCATAACAATGTTCATGTTTACATAAAGATCAGTTATTTAACTCTTAAGAGTACTCAAAAGTACATAAAAATAAACCAAGGATTTTCCTCAACACTTTAAATGGAACATATGTATCTATACATGCACTTAAAAAACCACATGTCAAGACGATCTGACTAAATCGAGATAGTGGTCAAACGTCAGCCCATCGAAATATAAAAAAAAAAACTGGAATAGAATGGGGATGATGACAGGGTATGAAAATTAAAAATATAACTAGTCCGTAACTTAGGTAATAAAAAAATATTAGACACGTATTTTTTTATTTTGTTGTATAATAAAACAATACTTAGATAAAACGAATCAAAGTTTAGGAGTGGGGGCTAAAACGTCATTTCTTAGTATAAAATGTACTGAGAAGTGACGTCACGCGACATTTCAAATCAATATATCTTCGAAACTATTCGTTTCCGTAAGAAAATAAAAAATACGTGTCTAATGTTTTTAAATAATCTACCAGACGAACATTAAAATAAAAATTAGTCGTCTACCCCATTGTCTGTTTGGTCTTTTGTTTTTTTTTTTAAACGTGTCACATAGCGTCAACTCGTAAGGCCCGATGGAGGAAGCAGATACATGTCATACAATGTAACACCTATATTTCAGCTCTAATGTTCTGAAACGTTACTCAATTTTAAGTGACGCTTAAGTATAGTTCTGTCACCACTGATTCTTTGTGAAATGACAGAGATGGCACGATATTTAAGCACGACTTAAAATTGAGTAACGTTTCAGTATACCGGCATAAGTCCCACGTAATAAGGGATGAGCATGGACGTATTATAATAATAGGTCCATGTGGATGAGACATTGCAGACACTATGTATTGTAGCAGATTTATGGCCGATTTTTCAACGCTTAGATAAATTTTAACTAAGGAATAAAGTTAAATTTTTGACAACTCATCTATACTAAAACTGTCAAATGTCAATTGTATTACAGTTAAGAATTATCTGATGATTGAAAATTCGGGCCATGGTCATTAAACCAATATAAATAAATTATAACTACGTAATGTAGCTGTTGATTCACCATTCAATAAATAAATATATAAATAACGCACCATTTCAAAAACATGTTCGTTCACTTCACTAGTATTCCACTAGATTGGTTAGATAGTATTGTGAGATATTTATATCAAAATCACGTTTCCTAAACATTTGGTTTCGTAAAAACACCTCCATGTTGTAAAAATATAGATACCTAACTAAATTGTAAAACCACGAATGCTTTACACTACTACTTATTTAACCTATTTGCTTATCGATTACAGTATAATATTAAAATTTAATTTATTTATAGATCAACTTTTTTATCACAAAAAAAAAAAAAAAAACAACACCAAAAAAAAGAAACTAAAAAAAATAATCCAATTTAAACAACCCTACCGGTTGACCTCGTAAAACCATTTTTTTTTCAAATCTTTGTAAATTACGTAGTATTAAATATAGATAAGACTTTTTATTTTTTATTTCTAATTTTTGATTACTGGTTGAACGTTCGTAAAAATTCTAATAAAAAAAAGTGGACTTACCGGATTTACTAATCCTAACGACTGTATCACACTCAGTACGCTAATATAATGTGTTGTCCATTCTATTTGTCACACTATGCAAGGTCCATAGAACGGCAACATAGACGCGACCAAACCAGTTTGTTGCCTATTACCTCTGTGAGGCAAGTCTATGATTCAACGGCCAATTAATCTTTTATGATGAAATCATCCTTGAAGATTTGTTAAATAACTAGTATTTTAGTGTGGGTGGATATTATTCATTATTTTTAAGGTTATATGCTAGCTTGCAGGAGAGTTTGTAATTGTCTGATCTATTGTGAACTAAGTTTTCCAGAGAACTTTACAATTTCTCAGTTCTTAGAGTAGTTACATTATTTTTTATGAAATAGAGGATGCGGCTTAAGGCTGGTTTTTTTATGGTATAAGCCGGTAAAAGCAATCGGCGGCGCCCATGAAACACCATTTTTTTTGGATTGGATGGATATTAGGAATTTGAGGATTGTTGGGGATTCAAGGATTGGGGAGATTGGGGAAGGGGAGAGGGGGAATTATGCCTCCGGTAACTCCATTCACACGACGAAATACGTTGCGTAAACGCAAACGCAAATGTTGTTTCACGTCGGTTTTCTGTGAGGCCGTGGTATCACTCCGGTCGAGACGGCCCGTTCGTGCCGAAGCATGGCTTTCCCACATTTAGCATGGCTCTCCCATACAATATGTAAAATGGTTTACTTCGCTCTTGTTCGGAGTTGTCTGAACGTATATGGTCTATCTATTCTATACGTATATGAATGTATCAGTTTACAACACAGATTATGTTTTGGTTTACGAAACAAAAATGACCTGATTGATAGTGCATTATGAATTTGACAAATATTTTTAAAAGACCAGATAAGGCCAATAAAAAACGTCTATCGTCTAGTGCGGAACTAAAAACAAGTCTTAATTATTGGTTTCAACTGTTACGTAAGGCAAATTAACTAGGTACCACGCAACCGGTGCATAGGTAGAAATATTTATGAAATTAACTAGTCTCATCTATTATATAATCTTTGGCCTCCCATCTAGTTGTGAACACACATGTCAAGAACGGTGCGAGGAACAAATATTTGCCTTGTTTTTCCGGCTTCAAGTTGTACGTAGATATATCTTGAGGCTACCTCTGTACTCTACGGTTTGTACGAATATACAAACATCTTTAAGTATATTTATAACGTCGCGGAGATCCTAACGGGTTACCGGAGGGGCTCGACGTGCAGGAGAAGGAACGGGGTGGTTTTTAGTCAGTAAGAGTCTGACACTCCCTTCCGCCTCACCCAGGTGGGAGCAGCCATTCGATGATTTCCCCTCTTAAAAAAAGTAGGTATATCTATAACATTAAAGATGTAATATAATAATAAAGCCAGTCGACTGGACTAGAGGTCGAATTCGATTCCCGGGTCGGGCAAAGTATTAATGGGTTTTAAAAAATTCTCAGTAGTAGCACGAAGTCTGGAATTGTGCCCGGTACGTCGCAATAGGCTTATAAGTACCTATTACATGGAACTGATAACATACCTAAATAGTGAAAAGTGGGTGTTACATTGTACAGTGGCATAATGTGCATCTCTGCCTACCCCTTCGGAGATCCCAAGCGTACGGCGCGTCGCGTTCCGCGCGCGCCTCAAAGAGACATCAGACCACCACAGATGGGGCCCAATACGGCCGATGCCGATTCGGAGTCGCGGAGAACCTAACGGGTAACCGGGGCTCCGGCTCGACGTGCAGGAGAAGGAACGGGGTGGTTTTTAGTCAATAAGAGTCTGACACTCCCTCCCGCCTAACCCAGGCGGGAGCAGTCATTCGATGATTTCCCCTCTTAAAAAAAGTAGGTATATCTATAACATTAAAGATGTAATATAATAATAAAGCCAGTCGACTGGACTAGAGGTCGAGTTCGATTCCCGGGTCGGGAAAAGTTTTAATGGGTTTTAAAAAAAATCTCAGTAGTAGCACGAAGTCTGGAATTGTGCCCGGTACGTCGCAATAGGCTTATAAGTACCTATTACATGGAACTGATAACATAAATAGTGAAAAGTGGGTGTTACATTGTACAGTGGCATAATGTGCATCTCTGCCTACCCCTTCGGAGATCCCGAGCGTACGGCGCGTCGCGTTCCGCGCGCGCCTCAAAGAGCCATCAGACCACCACAGATCCCCCCAATACGGCCGATGCCGATTCGGAGTCGCGGAGAACCTAACGGGTAACCGGGGCTGCGGCTCGACGTGCAGGAGAAGGAACGGGGTGGTTTTTAGTCAATAAGAGTCTAACACTCCCGCCCGCCTCACCCAGGCGGGAGCAGTCATTCGATGATTTTCCCCCCTCGGAGATAAAAGGCGTGATGTTATTTTATGTGAAGGGTTAGGTAAAGGTATGTATGTTTCTTGATGTTTTTAAAAGATAATTATAATATTAACATAAGTCCTTATAACAAATTTTACATAAATGTGTTACTTTTGTAATGTGCAAGGCCAGCTGATTTAGGCTGTCCAAAGTCAGTCTTTTCATGTTGTTGTTTTTTTTTTATCTCTGAGACTGTAAAACTTCATTTACAGACCCGACAATTCTATTTTGACGTTTCAAAAGTTCCTTTTATTTAAAGGGGGGGGGGGGGGCATCGAATGACTTCCCGCCTGGGTCGGGCGGGAGTGTCAGACTCTTACTGACTAAAAACCACCCTGGTTCTTCTCCTGCACTAATTGTGCCTAATTCCTTAATTGGGCACTTTAGTTCTTATTCATTGAAATAAACGCTTTGACTTTGAATTTAGTCTTTTATTAAATCTTTTACATGGATTTAAAATGTAGTAGTTAATAATATTAATAGTGTAACGCAACAATTCGATTTTGGTTTGTGTCGGACGCACGCGCGCTTCTCTAGTGGCAACACGGCCACCTTACTATTCCTCTTCCCCGCCACTGACCGCTCGACGCTTGCGTGGAAGCGACTCACGAACACATACATAACAACGAGTCCCGCGCCGGCGCCGTGACGCACACGCTCCGTATTTGTACCGCGAATTGTTTGAGTTTTATTCCATTGTATTATTGTGCAACTTTGTTTTTATGTTTTTATAATAACTATCGAGAGACATACTAAATTAAGTAAAAACGCGGGTGACTCACGTGAATATACTGAGAAAAGCTCTACTAGTTTCGAACCACAGAGGGGTTCTTCCTCATGAGCAGTGTGCGCGGTCGCGGCGACGTCGCGCAGCTCACTGATCACTGAGTAGAGCTTTTCTCAGTATATTCACGTGAGTAACCCGCGTTTTTACTTAATTTTGTACAACTTTGTTTATATTTAGTTTAACGTTTACTCCAATATATACAGTTTTACAGTCAATCGTGCGTCGAACTTTATTTTTACGCCCCTGAGAACCCACTAAGACATTTCAAGTTATCAAAATAGTTACAAACCCTGAGGTCAAACCTGTTGCTAAGAAAGATACGATGGATTATGTACCTTAATGACCATTGTTATTAGAGTTGTCTGTCGAATGGTCACCAGTGTGGAGCAAGGGGTCTCGGGCTTGATTCCACTAATAAGCAAAAGTGCTCACCTTTATTAATGGGTCTTTACTCTTTTAACCTAACTGAATAAAGTCGATATGCGTAAGTAGGTATAGGCGCAAACTTACTGTTCCTAAGTTTAATAGACGAGACTTAAGTGAATTCCGAAATAGATAAGTAATCTACATTTTAAGAAATAAGAAAAATAAATATTCTTAAACTTCTAAAAATACATTTAACGCCTTACAAAAAACTATCAGCAACTATACGCATTCCTACAACTACAAAATGTATTGCTATGCTCAATATTATACACGAATAAAACACCTTTTAACAATAAAAAAATCACCAGTAAAAAGAAAACAAACAGTTAATATTCATTTAATACATATTTTGAAAGTTCACAAAATGGCGTCGTCTGAACTTGACAAATAAGTGAAGTAGCGAAATAAAATGGCGGACGAATGGTGAGAAAATGGCGGGAATTATATACCTAACACCATGATAACAACTTGAAATTAAGAGGTCAGAGATTTAACGAGTTGTCAAATGTTACGCGCAGTTTAATTTAAAAAGTAATCACAGTTTGTAGGTATATGAGTTAAGGTTAAGTAGCTTTGTTTATTTCTGAGTTTTCGGTTATTTATTTGGAGCTGGGTAAAGGACGGTATTTGGTTTTAAATTTCTCAACCGACTTCTAAACTGGGGGTTCTTAGTTTGATCTGCATGTTTGTGCGAGATTATCTTACGATTGGCTGAACCAATATTGATGAGTTTGTTAGAAAAGTGTTTGCTACGCTTGGGAGGAGGCTTTAGTGTATTAATTAACCGATCTGATTGGAAAAGTGTAACCTATGGAGTTTCTTGCTCGTTTTTCTTCATAGGAAACTATACCTTGGAATGAGCAAATAGCTTCACTTTTATTTATTTGTTTTGACATTCGAAACCTTTCTTTCGAAACATTCGAAACCTTTCTGTCTAATTGAAATAAATGATTTTGATTTAGATTATGAAATTGAATTAAAAAAGAGGGGGTTGAAGTTAGTTTTTTTAATCGTAGTTTATGAAAGAAATAAGTTTGTCTTAAACTCCGCGCTTGGCAGAAGTCTGTAAGTTCCGATTTATTCAGAGTACACTGTTGTTCGAATTCTGCCAGATATGTAGTCCGATAATCATCTCACTCATAGATCACACGCGGAAAGACTTGGAATGTTTCAACAGAATTTGGTTTGTAGCAGTATGTTTCTATAATAACTATCGTGAGACATAATAAATCAACTTACAATCGCGGGTTACTCACGAGAAAAACTGTTCTAGTTTCGAAACTCTCGCAAGAGAGGCTCTTCCTCACGATAGCGTGTACAGTCGTGCAGCCTACTCAATATAGGTACTTACTTTTTTTATGAGACAAGCCCGCCATAACCTACCAAAACCATTGCAACTCCTGTAAGCCAGGATCTACAGCAGATACAACCATGAAAACTCCGTAAACCGAAGTCTGGTCCCCAAGGGACATGAATAACTATCTTGGTTCCCT